TCTGCATAGACTAAGGAGTCTTTATTAAAAATAAATGCCTTATTAAAATTAGCTGGGGGTTGGGTATGGTACGGTTGTGTGGTTATTAAAGGACCTGTTATGGTGGCCTAGCAGGACTATACCTGCATGCGCAGGGCCTGTAGAGAGCGTTGGCATGGACAGTATGTTCCGGAGTCAAGCAGAGAGCCAACATCATTGAGAACTTGTATTATATTTATAATTATGTTAATGTTTATTGTTGGAAATAAAACATAACAAAACATAACAAATGGTGGCCAGTATGGGGAATTCGTCTATTTAAGAAGAAATTCGCAAGTTTCAATAATAATGAACAAACCTTCATGGAATATTATGCCAGATATGTGACTTTTATGTTGGCAAATAATTTACCGAAAGAAAACCAAGCACAAAACGGCCTCGCTAACAAAACACCGGAACTCCACAAATGTTATCAACACTGGTAAAACATAGAGACACACCACGTGACTTGAATCAATTAACAATGGAAGAATTTTATTTTTTAATGACAGAACAGTTTGATCCAACAAATTTGTGATCAGAGAAAGATTTAAGTTTTGGTCGGATTCCAGTAGAAAGCCAGGGGGAGACAATCAAGGACGTGGCATCATGACTAAGACAAGAGGCAGCAACATGCGATTTTGCTGCTATAAAATATCCACTGGATGAAGCTCTAAGGACACAATTTATGCGTTCTGTGAAGAAAGAGGCAGTATTAACAATGTTGTTTAGAATGAAAGACACTGAATTAACATTTAATAAAGCTGTGGAAAAAGCTGTGGAGACAGAAGAGGCAGCTAAGTGTGCAGTGGAAACAGAAGAGGCAGCTAAGTGTGCAGTGGAAACAGAAGAGGCAGCTAAGTGTGCAAAAAAAAAAACAACTGTGCATGAAAAAACTCCTGTTAATAAAGTTCATAGCAAAAGAAATATTAAACTTCAAGCAGCAGAACAATTTTCAAAATCTCAGGGAATGATTATCTTGTTGGTAGATGTGAGGAAAAGGACGTAATCAGATCAGAACAACAGACCCAGGAGTCCTTGCTAAAGAGTCACTTAAAGATTCTACTGTTTCTACAGTAATGATATATTGTCAATAGGGCTGGCCGTCTTTTGCAAACAAAGCACACTTGAACAATGATGCAGCAAATATAACAGCTTTTAAAAATATTCAAGAATGACTTTCAGGGGAGTTGAATTGTCTTTTTTTAAGGTTCAAGAATTGTGGTACCAAATATACTACAAGCTCAGTTTCTCCAAATACTGCATACAGGACATTTTGGACTCGAGCGAATAAAATAGCCAGATCATCTGTATACTGGCCAGGGCTTGATGCTCAAATCATGGAGATGGTCGAACATGCACAGCATGCGTGCAGAACATGCCAGAGTTTCTAACAACACTCCCATGGTTGCTGCCAGAAAAACCATGGAGTCGAGTGCATATCGACCATGCCATTAACTAAAAGGGATCACATTTGCTGGTGAGGATAGATGTCTATTCAAAGTACCCGTGTATCCACAGGACAACATCCACATCAACCAAAGCCACCATTGATCTTCTTGAGGAAGGTTTTGCTCATTTCGGCTATCCACACACCATAGTCAGTGACAATGCTACTAGCGTCATCTCGATAGAATTTCAGCAGTGGTGCAAGGAAAGGGGTATCGTACATCTCGCAGGCGCTCTCTATTATCCTGCTACGAATGGAGCTGCCGAACGACTGATTCAAAGTTTCAAGAGTTCACTAAAGAAATCCTCATTACCTTTAAAGGAATCTCTACAAGACTTTCTGCGTCAGTATCGTAGGACACCATTGGCAAGTGGATTATCACCTAGCCAACTGCTGAACACTCGGCAAATAAGAACACTTATTGATACTCCAATTCCCTCTCCTGCTCATCAAGCACAGGGACAACATCTAAAAGAAATAGCCGTCCGTAATGGGACAAACAGCCTTTTTTAATGGGACAATAGCCGTCCGTAATGGGACAAACAACCGTCCGTAATGGGGCAAATAGACTTCCGTATTGGGGAAAAATAGACGTCCATAATGTGACAAATAGACGTCTGTAATGGGACAAACAGACGTCTGTAATGGGACAAATAGACGTCCGTAATGGGACAAATAGACGTCCGTAATGGGCAAAATAGACGCCAGTAATGGGACAAATAGACGTCCGTAATGGGCAAAATAGACGTCAGTAATGGGATAAAGAGACGTCCGTAATGGGACAAAGAGACGTCCGTAATGGAACAAATAGCGGTTCTAGTGAATCATGTAACCAGAGAGATCCATGTCATGTCAGAAGATATGGAACAACAACATACTCTAAACCACGATGGGCTCATGGCCCAATCATCCAAGTTATGTCAGAATATGTGGAACAACAACAGACTCTAAACTACGATGGGCTCCCGGTACAATCATCCAAGTTATGGGTCCACGCCTTTTTAAGGTAAAGCTTTATCCGAATGGCCCCATATGGAAGAGACATTTAGACGAACTTGGCCCCAGGCACGGAGCAGAAGATTCAGAACCTGGTTTGGATATTATGACAGGAAGTCATTACCCAACGGCTCAGGCAGCCCTGAGTCATCAACCGTTAGAGCACCCAACAGCTTCAAGTCCACCCAAGGAGAAGATTAACCCCCGACATCCAAGACCTTCAGACTATGTCAAACCAAGAAGATTTCAAAGACAACGATGAGCACCATTGTTACTGGACTTGAAATTTTTTGGGGCGGTGTTATAGACTAGCGGACTATACCGTCCGGATAGCCCACTGGGGCAAGCGGCGCGCATGCACTGGATCTGTAGAGAGTGTTGGCATGGACAGAGTGTTCCGGAGTCAAGCATAGTGTCAACATTATTGATAACTTGTTTAATATCTACATTTATGTTAATGTTTTTTGTTGGAAAGAAAAACATTAAAAACATAACGTGATTATAATACTATAAATACCAAGTATGTCTCGTGAATTTATCAGTAGTATGGACCAGGGACGTGCTGGCACATGGAAACCCGTGACGAACGGTGTAGTAAGAAAGGCCCGGAGGCACCCCACCCCCTCCCCGCACACCGGAGATTGTAATAACTGCCCAAAAAGGCCCATGACGCGTCGTCGTGGGCCAGCACGTCCCTGGTATGGACTACACAGTCTTATTGAAATGAGTACTTGTCAAATGGATTCATCATACACTAATTACAGAGTGCAGAGGTCGAGTGGATATCCTACTAATTCTATGCTACGTGGTATAAATATCAACCAATGGACGTTCGTTATACTTATTCCCTCCGTTTCCATTGATGTTACCATTTTTGTTTCACATATTATTACATGCAGAGGGATCATTATGATTTGACTGTCAATCAATAAGCAAACATTAGTGCAGAGTGAAACACTGAGCGCAGTTATTGCTCAGATATTCGATATGTGAGAACACCAAAGAAGAAGGTAAGGGAGAGCACCGCGCAGTCTCAGTTGCGTTTTTGTTTGTTTTTTAACACCGTACTGCGCAACGCCATTACTGACATTTATGAATAGATATTTGGATAGACATAGTTTGTATTCTGATAGCAACGGTATGTTGTTGTCGAAAGGGAGAAAACAGAAAGTGTAGATTGTATTCCGCATGCACATCGCCACACTAACAAGCTGAGCCCTTGGGAGCCCGCAATTATTCACAGGACTCACCTCGCACCACCCGTCATTTTGGATCAAAATATGAGCTGACCGCGTCTATCGCGACGTCTGCTGGTGACTGGTCAAGCTCATGTTTTCTGCATTCTTTACGAAAAAGATTATCAGGGCCACTGACCTGTGTTTCCTCAGCCAGTTTAAGTGTCCTATAGTATCTACCCCAAAACAGTAACGAACACAATAAGTTAGATTAGCTTCATAGCACCCCTCACCCAATAGTTAGATTAGCTTCATAGCACCCCCTCACCCAATAGTTAGGTTAGCTTCATAGCACCCCCTCACCCAATAATTAGATTAGCTTCATAGCACCCCTCATCCAATAGTTAGATTAGCTTCATAGCACCCCCTCACCCAATAGTTAGGTTAGCTTCATAGCACCCCCTCACCCAATAATTAGATTAGCTTCATAGCACCCCTCA